GTGGGAATTTAGGGTTAAGTACAAACTGTGATTATTTGATTCACCAACAATTATATTATATAACATCTTTTGCCCCCCCCCCTTTCCGTAGGGAAGTGTTTTATGGCAAAAGACAGCTTCCTACAAATTCGCATTCAACATATACATGTTTTAAGTAAATAATAAAAGTTAATAATCATGAAATAATGCAAAGATCTACTGTTGTGTACATGTAAGTCTACTTGTGATTGTATGTATTCCACTTCTTTCGTCGTCATTTTTTAAGCTACATTTGCAGTTCAAAAAGTGTACAATTTTATGCAAGGAGAGGTATCTTACCTCCATAATACGAACTGTATGGAATGAAAGATAACATAACGTACAAGGCTATCTGTGCTGTCCTCACCATGTGTATCGAAACCTGAACCACTGATATATGGTTAAACAGTAACAATACTAGAAAATCAGTGGCGATGTGTGAAAGAATACTGGTCTATGTATTTCTACCGCCTCGTCATTTCTTTTTCCCCAGTGGTTTGCAATGCTCATCACCATCAGTGATATATAAACTACCAATTTCACTCTACTCACATCAATCGTATTATAAAATATTTATCCATTTTCGTACATTTTTAAAATTCCTCTCCAAGCACTAACATGAAAATTAAGCATTACGGCATGCAGAAAATAAATCGAATCCAATTGATATATGGATTTCGGCAAACAGATAAACCAAATGAACCGGAAATCGGGAGGATTGGGTATGAATTGGAGGAACAGGGAGATAGTCCTTATTGTCGGAGGTGCACCCCCCATTCTTCACCCATATTCTCCTGTAAGGAGAACGAAATATAGCCTCGCGTTTAGTATAGCATAACGGAAGTTAGGTTACAAATTCTCGGAAAGTCTGAACAGTATATATATATATATATATAAATACATGTACATCTGATATTTGAAGTAGGATCTTTGTCTTTAAATTAAGTTTTTGTTTTGTTCAGACAAAAAGCGAGTGCTGATAGAAAACTAAGTAGTCGTTTTATTCTATAGGCGACTCTGTTGATAATCATGAATATTGCCGGGAGCGTGTTGATTTCGCCTCAACACGCGCCTTGAGCAACGTGTAATACAGCGTTATCTCGAGTCCTAGGAAAGCCACAGTTTTATGCAAAACGCAAGTAAACGTTCGTTATCTTTATGTAGGACAATAACCACGAATGCAACGTAATGCCCCCAGTGGCACAGCGGTATGTTTGCGGACTTACAACGCTAGAATCCGGGTTTCGATACCCGTGGTGGGCAGAGCACAGATAGCCCATTGTGTAGCTTTGTGCTTAATAACAAACAAACAAGCAACGTAACATTTATTTGAAATTCAACAGATCACGCTTTACAGAGCCTCAAAACACCTGGAGGGAGCAGTGAAAACGTAGTAAGTAATATATATTTATTTGGTGAAGAAAAAACACTAAGGATCTCACAACTATCATCTAAACCATCTTCCAGTGTTTCTTGTTTACTAGCTAAGCCATCTTGTCTATTAGCTATACCATCTTTCGCAGTTTCGCTTTTATCACCTGAAACATCTTGCAAAGTATCAAGTTTATTAGCTAAACTATTGTTTGAATTCCATGTTTATTAGACCCGGCATGGCCAGGTGGTTAGGGCGCTCGACTCGCAATCTGCGGGTTCGAATCCCCGTCACACCAAACATGCTCTCACTTTCAGCTGTGGGGGCATTATAATGTGACGGTCAATCCCACTATTCGTTAGTAAAAGAATAGCCCTAGAGTTGGCGGTGAGTGGTGATGACCAGCTGCCTTCCCTCTAGTCTTACACTGCTAAATTAGGGATGGCTAGAGCAGATAGCCCTCGTGTAGCTTTGCGCGAAATTCAAAACAAACAAACAACCATGTTTATTATAGCTTAGCCATCTTTCGAAGTGTCATGTTTATTAGCTGACCTAATTGTTTGAGTTTCATGTTTATTATAGCTTAACCATCTTTCGAAGTGTCATGTTTATTATAGCTTAACCATCTTTCGAAGTGTCATGTTTATTAGCTGAACTATTGTCTGAGTTTCATGTTTATTATAGATTAGCCATGTTTTTTTAGTAACTACTTAATCAGTTATTTGTTGCTTATCTTCTTTTTATGAACTTGAAAACGAATGAACATAAATAACACTTCAAAAAAGTATGATTTTCTATTTTTGTTACATAAGAAGCTTACAGTGGTAGGTTTCTCGGATTTAATAACTAAATAATTTATCTTATTTTTCGATGCTTTTGTAATTTCTGGATTATATGTAAAATCATTTTTAACAGCTTTATGAGCTATTGCTCACACAAGTTAAAATGCTTTAATCTAGATCATTTCATATGATTGCAACTTTTCAAAAAGTTTAAAATGACATCACACATTTTTAAGTTTCATTAAAAACATTTTATTATTGAAATTCAAATATAAAAGTTATGAATTTACACACTTATAAATATATTCAGTTTCGACAAGGTTTTATCGAAACGTTGTACATTTGCTGTTACGTTAAACTTATATTAAAGTTTT